AAACAGCAACAGGCTGGGAGCTCCACAGACACAAGTTACAGAATGCAGTCTGTTTTGAAGCTTGCTCATCTGAACCCTCGTTCAATGGCAAAGACAGAAGGCCCATTTAAAGCGGTTTGCAGCTGTGTGCTTCTGTTTAGTCACAGCTGTAGACTGCTTTTTGGCACCAGATTAGGCAAAAATTGTCACTTCTGTCTGTGCCCTGTGAGTTTTGGATTTTTAGCTGTATGTGAAGTCAAAGGCCCCTGTCACACACTACTCCGAAGGCATGATTAACCAGTAACCTGGTCACATGTTCATACAACGAATGGCTCAATAACACAGAGAATAAACTACAAAATTATTGCACATATTTTGCATAATAATTTTGTGGCTAGTTCTTATCACATCTTAAATTGAATGTATGGCCAGGGCATTCCCTGGGCTAGGAGTGCCAGTCTGCTGATTGGTGCTCCCAGCCTTAGGAGCACTAGTCCACTGACTGGTGCTCCCAGTTGTGGGTGCACTAGGCACCCAGTTTGTTACTTGCTAGTGCAGGGGGATCATGATCCTGGGCTCCCATTGCATTGGCAGTAAGGCACAATTTGGGTCTGATTCTTGATTCCAACAACCATGCCTCCTCCCATGTACATGTAGCATGGCAGGAGACACTATTGTTGAGACCCTGTGCTACCAAATCCCAACACATCTTGAAATGAACATCTGTTAGCAGTCTAAGGAATGTTTCAAAGGATTTAAATAATGAAAAATGCTAAATAACTCTCCCAGGAAGATTGAAGAGGGCTTTTAAAGAAACATTTTAGCACACAATCATTTATTCACTTCTTTAAAAATAGTTCAGTTTTCAAAAGATTTCATTATTTCATATTTTTGGACCCGTCATGAAGTTTATATATAATTTTCCTCCAGTATACTGGTAAAAGCAGTACGGTAACAATTTTTTACATGGATTGAGAGCAAATGGAACTAAAGGCCTCTGCTTATCCAGGGGTAAAACCAACCTGAACAGAGCAAAGATCCCCAGGACTAGTCGATGTGCGTCTTAGTCCTGATATGGAGGTCATGCTCATGGTCCATTCAGCCCTTGGCATCAACTGAGAGTGCCATCAAACATGCTAGCTGTGGCTGTATTTTAGGATGTAGATACCTGGCCATTAGCCTTTGGACTGAAGCCATCAATTTGGTTTACAAAAGCTAGCAAGCAGCTATCAGTAGATAACGTCCAACATCTATAAAGCCAGGCTCAGTTTGATCCAGCCAATTAGAATGTAAAAGTTCCCTCTCTCTTTACCAGTCCCCCGAGCCATCCAGATTCTCTGCAATTTATCAGAAGTGAGAAGGTATGAAAGCTGTGTTAGTAAAAGTCAGAGGGATACAAGCATCATGGGAATTTTTTTAAACAAAAAGCACATCTTTGGGCATGTCCTTCATTTCTAACTCTGAAAAGCAACTTACACTGAACTGCTATAATTTCCCACCTAACATCATTATATTATTTTATTGTGGGGAAGGAAGTCTGGCTTTAATTCCCAGCTTTGCCACAAACTTCCTGTGTGACACTGAGCAAGCCACTTACCCTGAGGTATGCTTCTGTTTCTCATCTATGAAATGTAAACAGTGCCATTTCCTATCTGTGTATTTAGTCAGTCTGTCTTAAATCTTTG